CCCCTAAGCCCCTAACCCTGAACCCTAAGCCCTAGAAACCCCGAAACCTCTAAACCCCTAAACCCCTAAAACCTAAACCCTAAACCCCTAAAACCTAAACCCTAAACCGTAAATCCTAAACCCTAAACCCTAAAACGAGGCTCTCAAACCACGCAAACATTCCGTCGGACGGTGGCGCTGCTGGCCTGGGTGTGCTCAAGACACGGGTTTGTGGAGTTAAATATAGGGGCCAGGGTTTAGGGTTTAGGGATAGGGGCCTTCGTAACTAGAATAGGGCTTTTGGGGCCCATTGTATTATGTTAATGAACAATGAACCCCCCAAAATAGTATAGGTAACTCAGGGTTGTAGTGATCCTGAGATACAGGCTGTCTTTGGAGACATTGCTACAACAGTCCTTCCTGTTCTTTCGCTGATTCTAGCCGCCACGCTAAGCTTTCGACTGTGCTCAGTCAGCTTAATCCCGTGAATTGCACAAAAGTCGTTTCTGGGCTGCGGCTAGGGGCTGAAGGGATTGTGCTTTCGGGTCTAGGGTTCAGGATTGAACGAGACGGGACTTCGGCGACGGAGAGTTAGACGGGAGGCTAAACATACAACCACGGGGTGTGCAGCAATGGGTCCGGATAGTTGGGCATACTGTAGGCGCCTTAATAATTAGACTAGGGTTTGGGGGCCCATCATACTGTAATTAGAATAAGCCCCCCCCAAAAAAAGAAAAAACAATAAAATAGGCAATCATTAAGGCGCCTATATGGGTGTTTCCGCCAAACAGGCGTCCAAGCAGGAATGTTGGGATGGGGGGTATGCTTCGGGGGTATGCTTCGGGGTATGCTTCGGGGTATGTTTCGAGGTATGCTTCGGGGCATGCTTCGCGGCCATGTTTAGGGGGTATCCAACTCTACTGTAAGCCATTATCACAACCAGAAATTAGTTGAAGTATAATCATGCCTTCTATTGAGCGATGTTCTTTTCTTTTCGGGTTCGGGGGTCGGGGCTTGGGCCTTCAGTCTTTGGGATGTAACCCGATAGCTGAATGCGAGGATCCTTTTAAGATGCCTTCCTTCAGCTGCTGGAGCTAC